CTGGTTTAAATTTAAATAATTGTATAATTTTACCTGTATATTATCTTAAAAACTCCACTAAGGAAAAGAAAGCCATTACAACAGTAATACTGTATTAATACAGTAATATTAATACTGAAGTTCTCTGTCATTTTCACTATGAAAAGGAGGCATAGGAAATTTTGATAGGAGAGACACGAAAATAGCACAAAATAATTTCATGCTGATCAAATCATTTATATTATTTATTTTCTTTATATTATTATTATACAGTAAATTTTTGACTGCTGGATGGCGTGATTCACCCATCAAAATCAAGTATTCAAAACAGCAGTATAATAACTAATATAACTTTAATTAACCTAACGATAGCATTTCATTTTAAATGTAAAAATACTAACTCACCAGTCTGAAGAACGTCAGTGATTAATGTGGTGTAGTACATAAAAACGTCATCAGTGCTTGAGTTGAGAATTTTGATCACATAGGCTATAGGAAAAAGAACACATTTAAAATATTAATAAGTTTAGACCAACATATTTGTACATTATTTGCTTTTAGTTTCTCACCATAGTCAACACCAGGACTGTAACATGCATAACTACTCCGGGTGTTGTGTTTCATATCCTTGCTGAAGGTGACTTTCAGCCTTGGACATCCTCCTGAAAATAAGTGCAAAATATAATATATAAATCTTAAGCTTTTGGATATGTAAATAAATATATTTCACAGCACACTAGAGTTTTTCCCACCTTCTGCACATGTACACAAATCCCCGCTACAAAGTTTGGAGATCATTGGGCTTTTGTGAGGGGCTGTATAGAATATGCCACATCTCTTTTCTGTGTAACACATCGAATAGCATTAGTCAGTGTTCACCACTCAGAAGTGTTGTCATCAAAGTGTTTGGTTCATAGAGTTTGACGACCTGGGCTGTAATAGTCATAGATGACAGCAGAAGCAGGTTGGACAAGGCCCATGGGAACAACCTGCTCAGCACCAAACTGAAGACACTCCTCGGTTTCGGTGATCTGTTGACATGAACCATGCAATCAAATCATTTGTGTTTCTGCTTGATCTGTTGCATAAATACTGATGAGCCAGTTTAACTATAGCACTTTTTAAATTCAGCAGTAAAGGAAAACTGAAAACGAAGCAAACCATATACCAAGAGGATATATCAGATTCATGGAATACTTAAAGAGAGAAACACTTCTGTTACCTTTGCAAAATAAAGAAAGACTTTATTATGATGGACTTCATAGTGATCAATGTACCTCTCTGTGCCCTTTACATTCTGTGAAGAAGAAAAAAAAAGAAATTCTTAGAAAAGAAACACATTCAAATGTTAAATATTAATTAATTTGTTACATATATGTATCATCTGCAACAAAACAAAGCCAGGAAATTACATTTGGTGATACTATGGCATAGTGATGGTATCAGATGGTAATAGCATGGTACTTTGATAAATGCTACCTTACAAAATATGGTGCTTAATGTAAGATGATACATTTTTTAAAGTTTGGACTACATTTGCAACCCTATTACTCATATTCATTTTTTTATTGATTTTATATTTTTATATTTTTTATTTTATTAATATTTATTTTATTTTTATTTGTTATTTTGATGCTTAATGCTTATTCCTAAAAATAGCATGCTACTTACAATGTAACGAGAAGAGAGAGAGAGAGAGAGAGAGAGAGAGAGAGAATTCGATTTAGATAGAATTGTTTAAAAAAAATGCATATGCACATGTTCCAAATCTTTGGCGTTTGGTATAAGTCCGCTTAGAAGTGAGATTTCCACCATGACCATGCCAACAGTATTCTTCTTTTTCATGCTGTATGAAGACAGAAAAGAAAAAAATAGTTGATTTCAGAGAGGCCAAACAAGTATTCATAATTCTGCTATGATTTGTATAACAAATCAATAATTTAAATACATAAAAAGACTGTTTACTGTGCTCACCCCACACACACTGTGTATATGACTGAACTCTCTCTCTTTGGCTCCTCTGAGATTTGTCTTTTTCTGCGGTTGCGAAGATCAAACCATTCTATGCTGCTCATGGGCTCATCTTTTTGATCTTCATCGACGTCGTAATTGTAATAGTCCTCAAACATTTCTTCTTTATTGTATATTTCTAGAGAAGAACATATTGACTTTTAGTCTGATGATATCTAAGGTCAAATATTATTATATTTTTAATGTTTGCTCCTCCTCCTCACCACCTGAGTGCACCCTCGCTCAAATATTACAACTGTGTAACTCTCATTGACTTTTTAATCTTCAATATCCTGTTTGGCAGTACAATTGGTATATACTTTTTATATAAAGTGTATACATTGCAGTGCACTCAATTCCTATTTAATTTATTGTTTAGAGTGACCTCTTCCATGATATTTTACTTACTGTATTCCAGCTCTCCTTTCACTGTAACACTAAGGTGAAATAGATCACAGTGTGATTCATCCTTCTTCATAGTTCTATATGTCTGCACAACCTGTAACAAGCTAAATGTCATTCAAAACACTATAAACTGAAACATTACAGATCAACAATTAATTAAACTGGAGGAAAAAAAAGTCTTACTGCTAATGTTCCACGTCCTGTTCCCTGAACATTTAGTGAAACTTTACCAACATTTCTGACCTGTGTGAACAAGTGCACATATAGTCTTCTTGTTATAGCATACATTAGCATACTTTATCACATATTTAATATCAAATGTTTTTTATTTCTAGTAACTTGAAGGTGGAATTAGTGGGAGGGGCTTACTCACTGAACAGAGGATTTGATTGGACAAAAATATGGGCAGTAGTTTCCAGATTGTAAATATATATGTTTGTCAACATTTAGGAATATACTAGAACTGTTTTAAATAATTTTTCTTACCTTAACAGCTGTTGCGGTGAGTGCATTATATTTGGTCAAGTGTAAATCTTGTTTTCGGCCATTTTCAAGGCACATTTCTACCCTCAGATTCAAGTCTTCTACATCATTGTTCTGCATGCTGTATTTCGCCAGAGCCTCAAGGGCCACGACTGTGTCCTATTTAAAAAAAAAAAAGAAAATGGATTTATTAATGCAATACAGATTGTGTCAAAGCAGCTTTACAGAGATAAACAGGAAAATAGCAAAATCAATTAATAAAACAACTATGGAGACAATTCAGATTCTGCTGTAAAGCAGCTCTAAAAGACTGCAGTTTCATTGTTTAGCTCAAGTCAGTTCAGTGTTGGTTCAGTTCAGATCAATAACAGTATGAAGTTCATTCATTTGAAACAAGTTCAATTCAGCTATAAGCAGTTTCTGCAGTTTCAAAAACTGTTTCTGGGTCTAAGCCTCCACTCAGCACACTGTGAGTGTATATTAGCACCGTCTGTTGTTTGCTTTTGGGATCATAATATAGAGCGTTTGGACCATCGTGTGACATCACATTTAACAAGTATATAACTTATGGAGCACTCTTTGTGTGTTTGAAAATTTTTTACTATACCTCAACACTATAAAAACAAACACAGCTGTCTGTGTTTTACATTTGAGTACACAGAGTTGTTATTTTATGGGTTTTTAACTTATTAGCAATAAATATTATATTCAAGTCCTCATAATACAACGTATGTAATTGTGTGTAGGATCTGTAACCACCAGACATGGAGATAGTTTGATGTCATTTTCCATTTTTGTGAAACTCCTCATAACTGAATAAAAGGTACACTACTGTTCAAATTTTGTTTGAGTAGGTAAGATTTTTTTTCTTCTTTTGTTCACCCTGCATTTATTTTTTTGTTTAAAAATACATTAAAACAGTAATATTGTTAAATATTATTATGATTTAAAATATCTGATTTCTATTTTTAATATATTTTAAAAATGCAATTCATTCCTGTGTTGCAAAGCTGAATTTTCAGCATCATTACTCCGGTCTTTAGTGTCACCTTCAGAAATCATTCTAATATGCTGATTTTGTGCAAAAATAAAAATTGTTATTATGTTAAAAACAGTTGTGCTGCTTAATATTTTTGGGAAAATTGGGATACATTTTATTATTTTAATAGAAAGTTCAAAAGAACAGCCTTTACTTGAAAATAAGAAGAATAGAAATAAAAGAAGAATAAAAATGATTTGTAACATTAAAAATGTCTTTACTTACATTTACAATTTAATGTGTCTTGCTAAATAAAACTACTAATTAAATGGTACTTTGAATGGTACTTTATATTAACCAATTTAAAAATATGAATACATCTTTTTGTTGTTGTTGTTGTAGTTTTATTAATTTTTTTATAATCAAACAACTGGGAGTACAGTTACATTTAATCATTTTATTGTTATATTAAAATACCACAACCCACCTGTGTGGACTGGAATCCACCACCATATTTGCGCTGCTCTGTCAGCCAGTTTGCAGTGAGTTTAGCGGTGGCCTTGTCACGCAGAGACAGTGCGCTGAGCAGAGCATATGCTGTGGTCTCCACAGATTCAGCGTCTGCTTTACCAGCTGATTTACCTCTGCCACCCTTGGAATTCCAGAAACACTTTGCTTCACAGAAAGAAAAGAAACGGTGCTGTGAGAATTGGAACATGATAACTGAGCTAATAAATAGTGACCACTTTTTAATCACATATCTTTTGTTTATATTAAGTAGTTTATGGCCTAACAGAAAGAAATTGAGATGTGAATAGGCAGGTAATAACTTCATTACTGACTGTTGTCACAATTAGCAATGCTTTTTAGCTTTCGGTGTGCCTGTTGGGCTTCTGCACTTGGCTGGTCATGCAATGACAAGGCATAAGCTGTAATGGCAAGCGAATAGGTACTTTCCAAAGCATCCGACTGTCCCTCTAGGTAGGACTTTGCTCTATCCATTGCAACTCTCTGCAAATAAACAGGTTTGTACAGATGTGTTTATTCAGTAGTGAATAAATAGAGGGCATATTGTGCAACTAGTGTTAATATGTTACCAGTTCTGTGTCGCTTCCCAGTTCGTACAATTTCAAAGCATGGTTCATTGAAATAAGGATAAAAGCAGTTAGGGGAACATCATCTTTCGCCTGTCCAACTCCTCCCTGAGGATAAATATTAGTTTTTGTTTAATCAGTGTTAGCAACCATTACTGATAAATAAAATAAATACACCCCTTTGGCTGTACCTTCATTCCTCTATCATAGAGTCGATTAGGATCATCCCATGCACCATTGCTCTTCTGTTTGGACATGAGATAAGACATAGACTCCTGAATATAAGAGTCTTTCACATTGATAATGTCCCGAGTCTCTGTCAGCTCCTTGGCAATAAATGCTGTAAGCCTACAGAAAGATTGGATAGAAAAAAAAAACACTTTTGCACAAATATGTCATGTCATTTAAAAAGCAAAAGTCTTACATTTCATGTGGATTTCTTGTAGTTAATATAATAATTATTTAAATGAATTTTAAGCATCTGGCAGACACTTTTATCAAGGCCTTGGCATTGACAGTGCCATGCAGTACCAGTCATGCTAGAGCCAAAAACGTACCAAATACTGCTTGGAGTCCTCAGAAACGCTCCGTAAGAGCCATCAACTTTCTTGTGTGTGAGGACTGTGTTGTAACCTGGTACATGAGAAGATGAAACAAGATGTATGTGGTATATGTGATTTTCAACATCCTATCATTTGCCATATATATTAAAAACCTTTTGTGTATTGGTGGGCCCAACAACAACTCTTGTCTGTCAGATTTATACTGTATGTGACTATATGACGCATACAATACTGTTCAAAAGTTTGGGGTCAGTAAGATTTTTTTAAAGAAATGTATTACTTGTATTCAGCAAATACGCATTAAATTGATCAAAAGTTACAGTAAATACATTTATGATGTTACAAAATATTTCTATTCTAAATGTTCATTTAAGCTTTCTATTCAAAGAAAATAACTGTATCACCGTTTCAACAAAAAATATTAATCAGCACAGCAGTAACAACTGTCAAGATTGAAAATAATAATAAATATTTCTTGACCACCAAATCAGCATATTAGAATGATTTCTGAAGGATCATGTGACACTGAAGACCGGGGTAAAGGCTGTTAAAAATTAGGAATAAATTACATTTTAAAGTATATTTAAATAGAAAACAGTTTTTTAAATGGTAATAATATTTCACAATATTACTGTTTTATTGTGTTTTGGATCAAATAAATACAGCTTTGGTGAGCATAAGAGAATAATGACCCCAAACTTTTAAATGGATTACTCATAAACAAAGGTGGACAAAGTACTGTACACAAGCTCTATTACAAAGTACACAACTCTAGATACTGCTGCTCAAATATTACTCCATTACAAGTAAAAGTTGTAAGGACATATTTTTACTTAAGTAAAAGTACAGAAGTACTTGCTTTTAAAAGTACTTAAGTACCAAAAGTAAATTTCCTTTTTTATGAACGCACTGTTTTATTATTGTTGTAATACTTGCAATACCTTATGCCTCTGAAGCAACTTACAATACATTACGCCTACTGAATACACTGACTAGCTTGTAGTGTTTTTGGAATGAAGAGCTTTTAGAATGTTAAAAACCTATAGAAACCAAACAAGTGAGTAGACCAGAAAAAAAATGTTTAACACCCCTACCCACTCCCACAAAAACAGCATGGTGATCTCACACAGCTCTGGCAGTGTGTGCACACATCTATGTGTAGCCATTCATCCACATTTGAACTGAGTGGACAGTGAAATTGCTGTAAATACAGAGTGATAAGAAAGAAAAAAAATCAAACCTGCTTTAAAACCCAGCAACACAACTGTAGCTGTATAACGTTACAACAGCAACACTGCTTTAAAGGGATAGTTCATCTTCGGAACATAAATTAAGATATTTTTGATGGAATCTGAGAGCTGTCTGGCCCTGCATAGACAGCAATACAACTGAAATGTTCCCAAGTCCAGAAACGTAGCAAGGAGATCTACCATGATCAAGGTCCAGAAATGTAGCAAGGAGATCGGTAAAATAATCCATGTGACATCAGGGGATCAACTGTAATTTTACGAAGCTACGAGAATCATTTTTGTGCGCAAAAGGGAAAAAAACGACTTTATTCAACAATTCGTCTCCTCCGCGTCACCCTGTAGCACTATTTTGGAGAGTATCCGCTATACGTAAACAGCATATGCTGTTCTGTGTCAGCTGTGTCACGCCGGATCTGTTTCCTACGTTGTTGTGATTTGATCTGAATGAAAACAGCGTATCCGTGTGATGCAGCTGACACAGAACAGCATAAGCAGAGGAGGCAAATTGCTGAATAAAGTTGTTTTTTTTTTTTCTTTTGCGCACAAAAATTATTCTCGTAGCTTTGTATAATTGCGGATGAACCACTGATGTCACATGGATTATTTTACAGATCTCCTTGCTACGTTTCTGGACTTGGGAACATTTCAGTTGTATTGCTGTCTATGCAGGGCCAGACAGCTCTCAGATTCCATCAAAAATATCTTAATTTGTGTTCCGAAGATGAACGAAGGTCTTACGGGTTTGAAATGACATGAGGGGGGAGTAATTAATGACAGAATTTTTGGGTGAACTAACCCTTTAACACAAAAACAAAACAGCAAGATTTATTTGACATCAAAACAAAAATGTCAAAAATGCTCTCGCAGTACTTTGATGTCATACATCAAGTGAAGTGATGCAAACTGTGAAGTGATGCTTTAAGTTGAACACCTATTGTGTTTTGTTAAGAGACTCACAACAGTTCTTCTGTGGCTTTATAGGTAATATTTTCATTTACACCATTTTGCTAAATCAGACAATATCTTTCTAATAATATGTCTAATATATACCAAAATATTAACTTCTTATTATTGAATTGTTGTAAATAAAAATCACATTTGTAACTGGTCAGTGTTCAAAAAATGCTAGGAAATCACTTCATGTAACCCTACAAGAGTGATTAATGATAGGCTGTCTAAAAAAAAGTCTCATTTTAGAGAAGAAAAAAACACCCACTGACTTTCAAAGCCGCAACATAGTAACGACTTTCTACTTCGAGGACCTTGATAGAAATGTAGTGGAGTGAAAAGTACGATAATTGTCTTTAAAATGTAGTGAAGTTAAAGTCATAAGTTTCCAGAAAAAATAATACTGAAGTAAAGTACAGATACTTTAAAAATGTACTTAAGTACAGTAATCAAGAAAATGTATATCGTTACTGTCCACCTCTGCTCATAAAAAGGAGAAGTAAAGCTTTGGTAAAGTTTTAAATCTATTGTTCTCTATTGCTGCCAAATTACTTTTGCATAGACAATTTCTCCTGACTCTCATAGTTTATGAACTATTAGAACATTTACTTAAAGTTGTAGCATCTACAGGTATGGATACCCACCGGTTTGGATCATCGATTGGGCCTCATCTCTGCGTTCAGCTTTCAGTGATATCCATTGTTTGGTGGCATCCAGGTACCTCATGGCATGAATAGCAGGAGACATCTTCACCATAGTCTGCTCCGCACAGCCAGTGGGCAGCTGAATGAGTTTATCGATACCCTCCAGGTTTAAACAGTTATTTACAGACTCGCCCATCACTCCACCTGCAAAATAATAGGGTCATTATATCTATGATAGAGTATGACAGAGGAAATCTATCTATCTATCTATCTATCTACCTACCTATCTATCTATCTATCTATCTATCTATCTATCTATCTATCCAACTTCACCTTTTAAACTCAAATTGATTTCGGAGTCCACCCCACCAGGGATCTCATCAGCAGGGACTGGAATATCAATCTCTAATTTCCTCACTGTGCATAAGAAGACAAAAAAAATGTTATTACAGTTATGAAAAGGCCAAGAACAGATTTACTGATTATATAGGCCTATTGGATTCTTACAGTTTGGATCAATGTTGTACTCCCTGTCAATAGTGGCGATTTCCCCTTCCCCCTAAACATGAAGGATTTGAAAGAGAGTTTTTCAGTGTCAAATATATTGGCACTGGAGCACAGTAAAATCTGGGTATGCCAACTTAAACGGATAGTTCACCCAAAAAATGAAAATTCTGTCATTAATTACTCACCCTCATGTCGTTCCAAAGCCGTAAGACCTTTGTTCATCTTCGGAACACAAATTAAAAAATAAAAAGATATTTTTGATGAAATCATTGAAAAAGCATGAAAGCATTCTGACCCTGCATAGACAGCAGTGCAACTCAAACGTTTTATGGCCCAGAAAGGTAGTAAGGGCATCGATAAAATAGTCCATGTGACATCAGTGGTTCAACCCTACTGTTATGAAGCTAAGAGAACACTTTTTGTGCACAAAGAAAACAAAAATAATGAATTTATTCAACAATTTGTTCTCTTCCTTGTCAGTCAACGTGCGTTCACAAGAGTACCACGACGCATGCGTGTGGTGCTGCTGACACAGGAGCCGGCGTTCTGACGTAGAACTCGGATGGGGTGCGCCTTGTTTGCAAGCAGAGGAATGCACACGCATGTATTGTGGTACTCTCGTGAATGCACAACGGAAGAGAAGAAATTGTTGAATAAAGTCGTTATTTTTGTTTTCTTTGCACACAAAAAGTATTCTCCTAGCTTCATAACATTATGGTTGAACCTCTGATGTCACAGTTTGGGGCAGTTGTGGCCTAATGGTTGGAGACTCGGACTTGTAAGCCAAAGGCCTCGGGTTCGAGTGCAACAAAAAAAGTGAATGTATAGCGCACCACGACTGAGGTGAAACCCTTGAACAAGGCAACAAACCCCCAACTGCTCCCCGGGCGCCACAGCAAAAATGGCTGCCCACTGCTCCGGGTGTGTGTTCACGGTGTGTGTGTGTGTGTGTGTGTGTGTGTTCACTACTCGCTGCTGTGTGTGTGCACTTCGATGGGTTAAATGCAGAGCTCAAATTTACTTTCACATGGACTATTTTATCGATATCCTTACTAACTTTCTGGGCCATAAAACTTTTCAGTTGCATTGCTGTTTATGCAGGGTCAGAAAGCTCTCAGATTTCATCAAACATATCTTAATTTGTGTTCCGAAGATGAATAAAGGTCTTATGGGTTTGGAACAGCATGAGGGATTAATGTCAGAATTGAAATTTTTGGGTGAACTAACCCTTTACCACACTTTACCTCCACACGGAGCTCCTTTTCTACTCGGTCATTAACAGTGTCTGAGGCATAAGCCAGCACGGTGATGGGGATATTTCCAATAACAAGGGGCACCACGGTAAAATACACAGCCACCGCTGAGTTACCAGGAACCACAACCTCCTCCTTCACCTCACTCCCACCAGCAGTGCACAAACCTTCCTTCTTATCCATCTTCACTATTGTCTATAGAGACACATGATATGGCATTTCAATCCTGTTTGTCACACTTTGCCTCACTGGATTAATTTGTCTAATATTTTTCAGGCACCTGTCCTAGTTAGCAAGAATGACACCTGAAATAAAGCTTCATTAAATTTACCTTTAAACTCTCTTGCTTGTAATTGTACACAACAGCTTTAACCTGAAGCTGCTCATTTCTCTTCACAGAGTAAGGTAGGTTGACGGACAAGAAGAAATCCTGGAAGACCCTCAGGGGCTTTGGTTCTGCAATGCAGAATCCTGGAAAAAAAACAACAACGACACAATTTGAAAACTGATCAGCATATAAACAGGACACATGATATAAGATTATATATATATAAAAAAAACCTTTTGTGGGAGAAATGCCCACAGCCTGGATTTCCCAAGTGGTTATGGAATCAGGAGCAACTGCATCATGCCTAAAAGTTTACAAAAGACAAAGAATATTTACATATAGAAAATTACGTTAGAGCCGATTCATTCTGTTCATTAGCAGAGAAAGAAAAAGAATTCAGGGTAACCTGATAATGCCGGTGCTATCTGTATGAATGACTGTCCACATCCATGACTGTGGGAAGTATTTACGAAGGTAGATAGCGTCCTCATTAATCACAATTTTGTCCAATGTGTCGTCGACGACTACAGTGAGAAACAGACAAATAGTGTAGTTAGTTCAGCTTTTGAAAGTAGCAACGTTGGCAAGCATAAACTACTTGCCCTAAACAAAACATTTTTAATAGTAATAATAATAATAATAATTGTATTTTTTTATAATAATAATTGTATATTTTATTATTTAAAATTATTTTATAAATGTGAGTAAATGAATGATAACAATAATAATAATAATACTACACTAAAATGACCCTCACATTTTTTTTTTTTACATTGAAATTGATTGTGTGATTGTGAGTAAGCAGTGAGGCCAATTTAGTATTAATATGGACAACATGTATTGATTTGAATTTATATTATTATTATTACTAAAATATACTAAACTGGCTTCACTGCTCTCTCGCATTTTTTGTCTGGTTTGATTTAGATGACTTGCTTGAAATCAATGTAGAATTGTGCAATCAATGTGGCTTTAATCCAAGAAACCCCTTTCCGAGAAATTATGCAAGACAAATTGTACCTCTTCCAAGGCTGGTTTTTCTCTTCTCAAACTTCTCCCTCTTCCTCCTCTCATTTGCAGCTTCGCAGCACTGTTTAAAAGCCTTACGACAGCTGTCCGATTCTTTTACTCTTTTGAGACGCTCATCACAGGACGTATGCATTTTGTTAGGCCTTACACCATCAAGACAGCATTTCCTGTCATGGTCCTTGAAGCTGTTGACTGTAGTGATGATATCATTATTTGACGTGATTAAAAACAAATCATGTGAGGAATCATCAAAGGGAGTCAAAATGTTGTTTTGCATCTTACCGACTTCATTGTATTTTTTAACATAGTCCGCTGCTCTTCTGATGCGAGGTTCAGGTTTAAATTTGTAACACTTATGCTCTGAAAAGAAGTAAAAATTTTACGCGTTACACTTTCATGCTCTTATGTGGTTCCTGAAAAACAATTCATAAAATAGGATGTCAGCAGTTATATTACCTAGAGGTTTAGGGGTTTCCATATCACAGTTACACATGAAAGTTAGCCCAGCTCTCTGAAGAACAGCACTGGAATCCTCTCCTCCTCCGATCGAGCAGGCCAGGTCATACGAGTTCATATACTCGAACATCTGTAGGTAAAAACAAATGATCTTCATTATGAGCAACAATCCTGAAATGATACATGGAGTACCTTTAAGAGTACACTAGCACAGTGTACTAGATATCCACAAAACTCATGGGGTTTTAACTTTAATGGGGTTCAACTTTCAACTTGTTTGTACATAATCCCAAATGTGTTACCTTTTGAAGGCTTAGTTTGTTTTTGCTCAGAATATAAACTGCTGAGTCCGCTGCAGCAAGAGCCACCTTGGTCTTTGGATCTGTTCTGACCGTCACTTCAAACTTAGTTGCAGGTTTTATCTCAGGCAGTGGATCAGTTTCTACCTACACACAAAATGGTATTTTGCATTTCAGTGGAAACATCTATCACTTCACAATTTCGATTCTGAAAGATAATTCGCCTCAGCCGTACCTTGCCTTTGCATACGTCTTTCACATCGACCCACACAGAGTCAGCCACTATTTTTTCTTTTGGTGAAGAATCTGTAAAATAGTAGGCTACCAGGCGAAAAGAAGGCACCATCTCCACATTGACATTCACATTGACTGTTGTGATTTCAGTTCTCGGCACCCTTCCCACCTGCACAATTTGTCCCTTACTCCAAACCTGTTGTGGATATAATTATTTTAAAGACATTCGATTGAAGATAAAGCAAATCTTTGCTCTCTGGTAAAAACCTACACATAAAAAACAACAACATCAGAGCTGATTGTTCTAACCATAAAGTAAATGAATGTGGGTTTTGCTGCACTCTGAGGTGTAATGTCCCGTAATGTGGCTTTCAAGGCCTCTCCGGGCTGTAGAACCTGATGCTCCACTTCCAAACTAAGATAGCTGTGTTCTTCTGCTTTTGTTGCACTGGCCGTCATCTTTTTATCACTACGAATGACCTCCTGGTCTCTCCCCTCGGCAAAAACCTGCAAAAAAAAAAAAGTTATTAAATTGATAGTTCCAGTCCTGGATGCTGATTGGTCAATACCAGAGACACAAGAACACATGAAACGGTAATATTATTGTTGTTGACAGCTGATCCAAAGCAATGTAATTGTATATTTTGGCCCCTTAAAGAAATAGCTTACCCAAAGCTGAAAATGTACTCATCCTCAGACCGTCCAAGATGTAGATGAGTTTGTTTCTTTATTGGAACAGATTTGGAGAAATGTAAAGGGGACATAACACACACAGCTTCTGCCAATCTCATGTTAATCTTGAGTACCTTATAGAGTAAAATACCAAAAACCAAAAACACACTTCTTCGGTGACATTGTTGATTTCGTGATCTAAAAACAAAATGGCAAATCCTTCTCGAGCAAAATTAAACTTCAAACTTTTCCAACTCGTTTTTTTAAACTTTGGCCATGTTTAGCATGAGAATCCAACTCTTTAACAGTGTAAATAAGTAAGAACTCATGAAACAGCATTAGACCTCCCCTTTAACATTACATTACTTGCTCACCAATGGATCCTCTGCAGTAAATGGGTGTCGTCAGAATGAGATGATAAAAACATCACAATAAAATGCCTTGATAGATTTGTGTGTTACAAACACGCAGCTTTTCAGTTTACAAAACGTTTGTTATCAATAAAACTGATGGATTGGAGTCATGTAGAATACTTGTGGATTATTGCTTTGTTTGTTTACAAATATATTTTATCAGCTGTTTGAACTCTCATTCTGACGGCACCCATTCACTGCAGAGGATCCTTTGGTGAGCAAGTGATGTAATGCTAAATTTTTCCAAACCTGTTCTGATGAAGAAACAAACTCATCTACATCTTGGATGGCCTGAGGGTGAGAAAACTGTCAGAAATTTTCATTTTTGGATGAAATTAAATTTTACTTTAATTTGGGCTTTGGAATGGAAATAATGATATTACAAAATGATTATCATGTGAAATCTTACTGTTACAGCTAAATTCTTAGCGTGTGGTGGTATTTGAAACGACATGGCTACATCTCCCATGTCATTTCCCCGGCCCTCATTTTTCAGAATATGCTCTGGTGAGCCTTCTATTGTAACAGTGGCTGTAAATTTCAAGTTTGGAACTCTGTTGCCATCTGGATAAGTTGCAGTAGCCTGGAAAAAAAGGAAAAGAAATTACAAAACCGTGTGCCACTAACATATATATATTTTAATTCCAGTCACTGATACTCAGAGGTATAAAACGAATACATTTAAGTTCAGAAATGATTTGGGCCACATACCAAAACGGAAAACACGCCACCTGGGGTGAAATACGTCTTGGTTTTTGACAGATCAACAACATATGGGGATGTCACAATCTTCACAGAAGAGCTCTCAGCTTCCTCCAGATTGCCACCTGCATAGAATAAGGATGAATATTCTTTGTTTTTTAATTTTCAATAATTAAATGTATTTTCATTTCCAATTGGGGATAAATTGTAACTTTAATTGAATAAAATAAGTGCATAAGATGAAATATTATTTCATCAATATAATATAACTAGAATTTATTTTGGATTGCATGCATTTCCCGATCTAATCATGTCTACTTTTTGTTTGTGACTTACTTGCTTTTTCCAAAACCGAGACTGCAATGTAAAGATAATATCCCTCTATATGGCCTTGAGTGTTATTTTCTGATGCTGTCTTTAAGTCCTCAGTGCGTACCTCTGTTTCTGCAGTACCATCCTCTACCTACATAACAGCAGAATACAGACATCAAATAAATCAAAACAAAATTAATTATCATAAATATATGTTTAGGCTAATATTGCAAATACAGCAAAATGATTTACTTACTGCTATCTGCTTTTCAGTGCCTGGAAGATATATCTTATTACCCTTTTCATCAATAAGTCCAAATCGAATATATGCTATGCCATTGACCCCCTTCCCATAAGTATATCTGAGAACACCAAAAGCTGATGAGTTACATAGCAAAATCTGAAGTCAACACCAAACCCAATCAGCATGTGTCAGTAGTAGACGTACCTAGCAGAGATGTTGAATGGAAAGGACTTGCTCTTCAAAATATGGTAAGGCTGTGGAGCCTCAATGGTAACCTCAAATGTGGGCAAAACTATAAAGAATGAAATGCCATTTCTAAGGGTTAAAGTGACAGGTGAAGTAAATAAGAATTCTTAGAGTAGATGCACCTGGAGTTTAATAACACCTACCGTATTCCTTGACCTCAAACTCCAATGATGTGGTAGATTCAGGGTACTTATGATATGACGCAATGATTTTCCATTTGCCTGCCCTGAAGGATTAATAAAATTACACAGAATATATAAATGACATCCATTAAAAAGGCATTGTAATGTTGTCTATTGTATGAGAATGAATGATATGTATATACTGTATGTGTACATGTGAAATTAACAACCAAAGCTTTAATTAATTATATACATAGACACTTTATTTAGTGTTAGCTTTGTTTAGTGTTTATTTAGTGCTCATGCAGTTAACTTACTGCTCTACTCCTGGTATAGTGATAGTTTTTTCCAAAATTTGGTCAGAAACCAAAATATGATTGTAAACAATAAAGCCTTTGCAGTTCTGTAAAAAGAAAAAAAATGCCTGCTCATTCAAGGTAATTGTGAATATTATTTGCATTTCCTCATTGACAAAAACAACTTACAATTATTTGAACATGGATTTCATCCTTTATGGGGATCATGAAGTTGTCTAGTGTGAAGATTCTGTATTTGACTGAGAAACAGAGAATAAAGAGAAACTAAACAAGAGTGGCAATTTTTAATACTAGTAAGCAAGTAATGCAGATTTAACAAAAGTAAAAGAAAAAATAATATTAATAAGAAATAAGAAAATTATTTATCATACCATTTTCTCCTGGATTATAAATTGGCTTGTCTGTTTGGATGAAAATGTACCCTCTTTTTGTTGACAAAAGAATGCTGGCTTTTTTTGCATTTCCGTCTTTGTCCCCAAAGACATCATTGCTTGTGGCTGCAAGCTGAACATACTCTTGCACTTTTGTACTTCCATACAAGCTGCGATCAACCTATTCATGAAGTCATGTGATTTACAGAAAATCTTGTTCATAACAGAACACAGCAGGGAAAGCAGCTGTCTGGAGCAAAGGCAACGAGAAACTAAAACAACAATCTAATACAGCACTTTTATGTATTATTTTATGCCATGTGTCTGTATTAATTTTAGTAATGTGATTAATAAAATGCCCCTTTTACTTAGACATATCAGTCTGAAATATCTCAGTATTATGCACTGGGTTGGGAACTGAATCGCACGTGTCGTGCATTCAGTGGCGTGCACAGATCTCCGGAGGTGCAGGGAGTAGTGGCAGTGTTGCCAGATTGGAAATGTCCAAGTATCGTACCAGAAGCTCAAAATTATCGTATTTGGAAGAAAATTATCGTACACGAGTAAAAATTTACAGAATACAGCTATTTATCTACTAGACTAGAACAACAACTTTTTGACACAACCTTCAAATTACAACAATAAATAAATAACTATGCTAGGGCCCTATGAAATACGTTTTATTTTTTCCCAAATTCCTTTATTTTTTTTTATTCCAAATGTAAATTTTTTTTGGATTCTTGTTTTTTTTTTCCATTTGAATTTTTCTGGACTCCTTTTTAAATGGTTAAATTAAATTTTATTAATCAAAAGCACGTCTAATTAAATAATGAAACGCATACAATCCAACATCAAATCTATTAAAAAGTTTAACAAAAATTACATGTTTAGGGTCTTATGAAATGCTCTATTTTTTCACCTTGTTTACTGTTACCAAATTCTGTGTTTTAATATGTCTAATTATTTGAATGCATAAAAACTAATTTTATATTCATAGCCTTATGAAATTCTGCATTGTGTATTTTCATTTTTCTGGTTATCGAATAAATGCATAACACATTAATTTAATTTATCTTTTAATTAATGAAAATTAAACAAATTTAATTTTTTGGCAAACAAAGGGGATTTACAATTAAAATTAAAACATGGAAGAAATATTTTGATTATTCCTTAATAATTTATGTACTTATGTCCTATTTAGTGAGAAGGCAGATGCTGAAATCATGCGAGCTTCACGCGCGCTTCAGTATGTGTGTAGTAAACAAAACCGCCTGACATTCATTCAGACCATAAACTATGATTCAGACAGACACAGAACATGCAGGATTTATATTTAAATAGCCTTTTTGCGGCTTAATATTTACAGATACTAGTCATATCACGATTTAAGTGTAATGACCTTCCTTTGATTAATTCATCCAAACTTGGACAAATTCCGTGACATTCCGCGTTATACAGTAAATTCTGTTGACTGGATTCTGCGATTCCATCCGTGTTTTCCGCATCGCGGAAACCATAGGGCCATAGGCGTACCTTGTGGGAAGGTCCAAACTCCACCTCTGAGTCGCTGTCATCAGAATCCTGCGTGTTGCCAGATGTTGAGGGTCCTGAGGTGTGCACCAACCCATTTAGAGCGTCTGTAATGAGCCGATTTCATGGCTTTGTTTTGATGAGGTTGACTTTGGATTCCGTGACATTCTGCGTTATACAGTAAATTCAGTTGACTGGATTCCGCAATTCCATCCGTGTTTTCCGCATCGTGGAAATCACAGGGCCATCAGTGTTGCCAAACCCCTCCCTCAGAAAATCTCTAGATTCAAAAGTCTCCATTTTTCACAAAAAGTCGCCAAATATGAAAACATACAGGTAGTAAAAGTAAATACAGGTAAATTTGGTAAAGGTAAAGGAAAGTAAATATATATATATATATGCAAGCACATCAAACATGATGGAAAGACACAAAAGACACATAAAGTTGGGAATTTGTTTTATGTGTCACCAAAGTGCATCCCTGTCCTGCTCAAATACAACAGATAACCAAAAACAAAAACTATTCATACAAACTTATTTCAGTCAACACACTCTATTACTACAAAGTAAGTGCAAAATACTGCATCCCAGCACACATGACACGACGATGCACTGTGTCTCTATCTCAGTATCTGGTTGACATGACTGTGCATGAATTGTGGTATAACTTTTGTGTCTGTGGTTAAAACAAGATGTTCATTTTTTCTCCGGCATCTTGATTGATGCTTATAATGAAATTGTGGTGTACGTCATGGCAGGCGTGGCGTACTGGTGTGTTCACTGCGCAGACTCATTGGCATGATTGAGAGCAAACGTGAGAGGTCACGGGCCTACGGCAGGGTGTGGCCAAGTAAAAAAATTTAAATCTCCAAAAAATGGCTAGTTTTATTTAAATATAACTAAAATAGCTCCTTGTGGCAAAAAATTAAAAAAAAAGTCGCAGCTACAATGAGAAAGTAGCTAAATTTGGCGACAAAATCCCCAAATTGGCAACACTGAGGGCCATAGGCATACCTTGTGGGAAGGTCCAAACTCCCCCTCTGAGTCGCTGTCATCAGAATCCTGCGTGTTGCCAGATGTTGAGGGTCCTGAGGTGTGCACCAACCCATTTAGAGCGTCTGTAATGAGCCGATTTCATGGCTTTGTATTGGTGAGGTTGACTTTGGAAAAACACGTTCTGAACTTTCGAAATTATCGTACATTATAGGATTTTTTTCATTATTGATCGTACAGAGGTCAATATTATCGTACAAATACGATAATTATCGTACGTCTGGCAACACTGAGTAGTGGCTTTACGAGGGCGCAGTCGGGTGACACCCTCAGTAGAAATCGCGGGGTAGAGGTAGGGTAGGTGATTTGGTTCAAAAACATTTATTATGGGATTTTTTTCATTATTGATCGTACAGAGGTCAATATTATCGTACAAATACGATAATTATCGTGCGTCTGGCAACACTGAGTAGTGGCTTTACGAGGGCGCAGTCGGGTGACACCCTCAGTAGAAATCGCGGGGTAGAGGTAGGGTAGGTGATTTGGTTCAAAAACATTTGGTTGAAAGATTTTCACATCCCGATTGCAATCAAGTGATCTGAATGAATGTATTTACATCGTCTGTGGAAGGCGAAGGTCCATAAAATCGGGTATTAAAATAGCCAGTTGCAGGCTACCAGTTTCGGCCGGCAGGTGGGACTGTTGTCAGACAGCAAGATTCAAGTAACTTTATCATATAGCATTTTGATCAATATAATAATCAATATAAGCTCGCAAATCTATTTTCTTCCCTGATTGGGTTTTAAGGACGCTGTTTTCATCTCAAATTTACTAGCATAGCATTTATATTTTTATAATGATTTTATTGATAACTATGGAATAAATGGTTCAAAACAAAACTAACTGTAAATTATTCGCTTCTGATTTACGTTTACTGTTCTCATCACTTCGAAAAATCTCCTCCAATAAAATGGTAATTCATTCATTAGAAGAGCCGATGAGGCAATAATAGGCTACCTCTCGTGGAAAAGTTGTAGCTATTATTTCATGAGCCAGTGCTTGTAGTCGAATTAGTAGTACAGCCATATACCACAGAGAGTAGGTGGGACTGCCAACTGCAGGGGGAAAAAAACAAAAAACCCCAGGAGACAAAACGACGCGTATAAAGACAGGCTGAAACGCATACACACGGATTTAAAAACAAAAGCTCCAAATGGATGAAACTACATGCTTTCAAAAACATGCCTTACAAAAATCGGACTCTGAAACTCGGGAACAACACTGTAAGTTATTTCTGAATACTTCATTGCATTTAATTTGTTTGCTAAACACTTGAATGCACAGAACATAATAATATAGCCTACTTATAAATGAATAGTGCAAGACTAGTGCATAAGAACAGTGCATTTGCTTTTAAACTGTAACATATTTAGATATTTAGTTTAACATTTAGTTTAGCATGTGCAGGATGATGACGCATCAGCCAATATGCTTTAGGAAATGGATTGAAACATTTGCTAATTTAGTTGTATAGCACAAAATGTAAAATGAGTTCAAGAGTAAACAAAAATTTAAAGAGTGAATAAAAATTTAAATGACAGAACAGCATGTCTTTCCTCTGGTAAGTAGGTAGGCTAATACAAAACAATCACTGAGATGAGAAATATTAGGCTATAGGGACAGAATTGCAGTTAAATTCTCAGTGGATTATACAGGTTTAAACCTGTTTTGTTCAGTTTGGATAAAAGCAAATAACACTACCCATAGTATAAATTATAAACAATTTTTTTTTTGGTTTAAATAGTATTTTCACTTGACACCAGTGTTGATGTGCAGAACACATACTGGCTAGCTGTACTGACTGAAATAATGTAAATCCAACATTTTTTTAAACAGTGATATGGTCTTTACAATAAATCATTTTTTTACTTTGTATAAATGTTTTGTCTTTGGAGAAAAAAAAAACAAAAACAAAACAAAACATTGATTAATATTTAGGATTTGAACCAAACCCAAAATATAATTTTAGAAAAACAAAAAAAATTTAAGTTGGTCCAAGCTGTTTTAAAAATGAATGGTCTCACACTAAAAAATCAATAAAAAATAAATAAATAAAACTGTGGTAACATGCTATTTGGTAAGATTGCTTTTACAGTTCACAGGGAAAGATCGTGGTTACGGAAGCTTTTTACTGGGCTTTTTCTACTGGTAGTCACGTGTTTGCTGGTGAGTTCATGAAAATATCTATTTATGGCTGCTGTTAGCTGTTTTCTGAATCAAATTTACTGGCATTTTCGTCCTTTGTATTTTCCTGGTACACACATCTTTAGGCCAAATTATTTGTTTGTCTGAGATCCTTTACAATTTGCTTGGTATTAATTATGCATTGTACTCATTCTATAGCTCTGTGATGTTAAGTGGGCCATGATAAATAAGCAGGGCATGCAGGTCTTTGAATGATTACATAACTATGTTTGAAGTGTGTAAATGTCTGAAGGTCTTTGTCTAAAAAAAAAAAAAAAAAACTAAAAAAGAAGAGCCAAAAATCTCAAAAGTATGGAAGCCCGTTTCCGCCACCGAATAAAAAATAAAAAAGGTAATTGCGACTTTTTATCTCACAATTCTGACTTTTTTTCCTCAGAATTCTTTTTTCATAAACTCGCAATTCTGCGAACATATCAGTCTTAACCCCCAAAAAAAAAAAAACTAAAACAGATTCCCTATAAAATGCCCTATGTAAATTTGATTTAGAATCAAATGTAGACTGGATGTTTAATAACAGTCAAATGAGTAAAACAAAATAACGGACTATTTTGTATTTGTAGGTTATATGGTCTTATATGGGAAAGGAAAGAAAGAAACGCCCTTCACCCAGTTTTTTGTCTCAGCACTGTGCAGGACTCCAGAACTCTGCAAACTCCGGCTCTCCTGCAGGAATCAATTCAGAAGTCTCAGAAAAGTCTCAGTCACTAATAAACTCTTTTTACTCTGAATTTGGAATCAGTTTAGATGGCTACTCCAGGTTACAGCAGGCTGTTTACTGGGCAGATCCTGACAGATCGATCACAAATGTGTCCATGAGTACTAGTCCAGCCCACACCACATTCATCATTGAGAACCTGAAAGAGAGCTACCAAACTGGTGAGGAGCTTTTTGTTACGGTGCATGCAAAGGACTTTGATAATAAATCTAAGAGTTATGGAGGCGACTTTTTTCAAGCCAAGCTGTTCTGTTCTAAAACTAAGGTCAGTAATTGTACACATTACTTACCTGTTGTTTTTACTGTAAACTCTGAGAGAGTTGTACTCAGAATATTCCTCTGTCACAGGCCAGTGTGTTTGGGGAGGTGGTGGACCTGCTCAACGGCTCATACTCTGTGCGTTTCCTCCTGCCGTGGGTCGGCGAGGCCCAGGTGGCTGTGCGTCTAATTCACTCCAGTGAGGTTGTGCAGGTCCTGAAGCATCACAGAGATACTGACTCTGACAGGGTGTACTTTTATGGATTTTACGAGGGACCAGGACCAAATAAGACCAGGCTGAGTGAAGCAGTGATGTGTAATGTTAAGTGGGACAAGAATGGACTAGAGCATATGGGAACTGGAGACTGTTGCTGTGAATACAAAGATCCCTGTACCGAAGAAATATGGCGCTGCCAGAGACCCAAATCCCTGCCATGCAGTGCCCTTGTGTACCACTCTATGGGTGGTTATAGAAACCGTCTGACTGATAAAGAGAAGAAGCTTATGTGAGAATAAATGATTCTTGATTGACTTTATACTTGATTTATTTAATGCATTGATGGAAGGCAGTATGACAGACAAACATGTTCTCTTTGACAGGACGCAAACTAACAAAGGTATCAATGGAGATAAGAGCATCATCAAAATATTTCATTCCCATGGAAATGAAACTATTGGTATGTTGGTCAATAGTTTAACCCAGAGTAATAGTACAGCAGAGATGCTGGGAAATATGTTGCACAAAAAAAGAGGAATAAATGTACTGACAATGCAAGTCAAAATAACGAGTTTAGATAAATTTTGGGCAAACTCATAACTTTGTTACACTACTTTCTGTTTCCCTTTACTCACCCTGCAGATGTAGCAGAGAAATGTCATCCTGGTTTACACACTCCAGTTCCAGCCGGCTTTTACCTCAATGATGTGTGGACGTCCTTTGTCTGTAGCACCCGACATTTTACAACCCAAACAACAACAGAGTGCCTGAAAGACAAACACAAGGGGGTCTGAATACTTTCCGTACCCACTGTATATAAAAATTGTGTTATATATGTGCAATACATGGGATCATATTTGTTGGTGTCACGTTTTTATCAGCCCTGAAACAGATGAACCTGCATGTCCAATATCAGTCAGGGCCGCTCCTAGCAGTGGATGTGAAGAACAACATTGACTTACACTGGAGGGCTCATGGCGTTCCTCTGCGCAGTCGAAAATCAGCAGTTGCTAATCTGCACTACATCAGTAATGAGATCGATGGCCTGGCAGGAGGACCCCACATGGTCATTATGTTTAATCTGGGGCCCCATTTCACCACGTACCCTCTGGATTTCTTCACCCATAGAGTGTTGAGGATCCGCAAAGCTGTTCTAGCATTGTTACAGCGGGCGCCTGACACTACCGTTATAATCAAGACTGTCAACACTGGCTATAAGGTAAGCCTATGCAGCAGGGGTCCACAACTCTGGACCTCGAGATCCACTTTCCTGCAGAGATTAGCTGCAACCTGGATTAAACACACCAACCTGCAACTTTGTAGAAATCCTAAAGACTTTGATTAGCGTGTTCAGGTGTGTTTGATTAGGGTTGGCACTAAACTTTGCAGAAAATTGGATCTCGAGGTCCAGAATTGAGGACCCCTGCTATACAGTTTCATGTGTTTAAATACAAGGAGGCCACACTGTGATGGCAAGTTTAGGGTTGATGGTGCGTTTCTCTGTCTTTATAATAGGATATTTTCGGGAGTGATTGGTATTCTCTTCAGTTGGACAGAATTCTGCGTTGGGCTTTTCAGGATGTTGGTGTTTATATTCTGGATGTGTGGCAAATGACGGCCTGTCACTACAGCAAAGAGAACATTCATCCAGGCACTGTCATCATCAAAAACGAGATTGACATTTTACTCTCTTTTGTTTGCCCCGTATACATTTAAATGATTAAATTTTACTACATTTGAAAATTCAGGTCATGTGTAGAAAAACGTCTCGGTTACATATGGTAACCCTTGTTCCCTGAAGGAGGGAACGGAGACGTCACGTCAGATGACTGACAAATTGGGATCTCAATTCGTCGGTCATCCGACATGACATTGGGAGTGACCGACTGAAAGGGAACTACCCTGAAATACTTTGTGACTGTTTTAAACAAGTGTGCGCTTGTGTACTAAAAACAGGTCACATAAACACTGGAATGAATTGCAGTTGTATTCCTGCATCCATATGGATTTGTCACTCCTGATGCTTGTCTACTATACGCATACTTTAAATTTTCACAACCCTAACCAAATATATTTAAGAAGTTATATTGGATTAGGTAAAATGTAAAAATACAGATTAAATAAATAAAAATTAAGATATAGCACGATGTTACATAGTTTCTTGAACTGGCACCAGGCAAACACATAGATGATGGACACACAATTCACAAAAGATCGCTATTAATCAAACATTTTGTCTTTGTAGAATAATGCTTGTAGATTATATCAACTGAACTCCAATTTAGTAAAGTGAATGTATCCCCGCCTGTCACACGGAAGACCGGGCTTCGATTCCCCAATGGTGAGACCTAGGGGGCAATCGTGGCCTAATGATTAGAGAGTCAGACTTGTAACCCAAAGGTAGTGGGTTTGAGTCTCTGTACCGGCAGGGATTGTAGGTGGGCGGAGTGAATGTACAGCGCTTTCTTCCACTTTCAATACCAAGACTGTGGTGAGACCCTTGAGCAAGGCACTGAACCTCCAACTGCAGCAAAAAATGGCTGTGTGTGTGTGTTCACTACTCACTGCTGTGTGTGTGTGCACTTAGATGGGTTAAATTCAGAGCACAAATTCTGAGTATGGGACATCATACTTGGCCACACGTCAGGTCCTTTTCCTTTATATTACAAAACTAAAAATCATAATGATTATGAGTTCACTAAGGACACTAAATGCCAGCAGCAAGTAATAGGTATAATATAATAATCAATCATCTCTATCATGATTCTTAAACGATTCTGAATTCTGAGTTTAAATTTTAACCGCAGCTGAGTGATGACATTTATATAGAAGCCTATTTCCGCCACATAAAAAAAATGCTTTGGTAAACAAAATTATGACATAAAAAGTCATAATTATGACACAAAAAGTCAAAATTATTAATTTCAAAGTTGCAATTATGACATAACCATGAGATTTAAAGTCAAAATAATGGCATACTAAGTCAAAATAGCCTTACCCTGGAGTTGGTTCACCCTCCGCCTATGACTTAGTATGTCATAATTTCAACATTTTATGTTATAATTTTGAATTTTAAAGCCATAATCACAACTTAGTATGTCATAACTATGACATTTAAAGTCATAACTGTAACTTACCAACGCATGATTTATTTTTCTTACATGGCAGAAACGGGCTTCCATATGTTTCTCAGCCAGGCCAGGCCAGGCTCCAGCTCTAAAACATAAAGTGGGCAATAAGATGCCTATAATAAGATGTATTTTCTTTTTTTATTACATATATTCAACATATTCTTAAAATAATTTAGTTTTCCGATAAACATTTTATTTCCATTATCATATACATCATGTTATTTACTTGCATGTGAATTTCTAGAGAACTGAAGGGGTTGTGCTAATCTCGATAGCAAAACGTCACACTTGACACCTTCTACATCTGATCATGCAGATGCATTTATAAAAAATTCTATCACTTGTGATTTGCTAAAGGTAGATGCGAAACCTTTCTTATAAAAATGTTTTTAAAAAACACCAGCTCACATCCCAGCTGTGAGATTTTTTTGGTTACTGAGAATTAGCGCAACACGCATGCACGGTTTCAGTTCTCTAAAAAAATACAGCTGGAATCGTAAGTTAAATTGACATTTTTGTGGTTGCCACTTGGTAGCTGAACCAAACCAGGCAGTTATGAACACAGAATGAACTCGATGGCTGAGTAGAACTGTTTCAGCAGCTGGCAGGTTGAATTTCCTGGTGAAGGAAGTACAACCTCTGCTGGGTCTTTTTAACAATGTCTATGTCAAAGTCTATGGCTGCGTTCCAGTCCATTTTTTTATGCCCTTCACTCGCTAACTTCCCTCCGTCTCGTTTACTTGGATGTAGGCCTACGTCATTGATTACATTTCATGAGTACACATACTGGCGGAACCCTTGGAATGGGCTGAATCGGAACGTCCTAAGCCCTTGATCACTTAGAAACTGCTATGGAGTTGGTTTATTGACATTTTCCCTCCTATGAATTAGTTTGGTGCAGCATTCTATGTGTATATAGGTATGCTTGGGCTGTTCTAAATGTAAAAAAAAAAAAAAATGTATATATTATAGAGTTGTTTGGGGTGAGGTTAAATGAAATGCAATCTGTGGCCTGACGTGTACATGTGAAGCAGACTCGCTCCCTCGGTCAAAATCGAGGGGTCAAGGGTTAGGGTCTGTCTGTATAAACTTCCCTTGTCCATTTCACGAAGTGGAATGCATTTCAAAATGGCAGCGGGGATTCCCCCGAGGGGAAGTGCTTAGGGAAGTTTGCCAGTGCATGTCTAAAAGTGGAGTGGACGAAGGTTACTTTTAAAATGTATTTCACTACAGATTACAAAATACATGCTTTAAAAAGTAATCAGTAATGTATTTCCTTAGATTACTCAGGTTTAGTATCTTAAACTAAATACTTTAGAATACTTTGAAATACTTAAGCTCAGGGGAGTCATGGACTCATTATTTTTGAGGGGGCACGAGTGGGGGGAGGTCGTCATGTGACACACAGCAGCCACAATAGCACTTATGTTCTTATGTTTTTTGTTTTTTTTTCCTTTTTATTCGAAACATTCGAAGCCCAAACGCATTAACCATATCATGAAATATCTGGATTCTCACCTATGTTAGTTGATCTATAGTGGGCGATGGTCAAAGTAGTCTAATATAGTCTATTAACTATACATAAAAACCTGTCTGTTTACGTAAGTAACAGATATGGGTGTCATGCCATAACATAGTTTTAATATGACTGACTTTATATTTAATGTGAATTTAACATTGAAAGTTAATGTGAATAAAATTACCTATTGTAAGTTAGGCTACTTAAATTTACCAGTGTTGATTTTCCAGTGTTAAAATAAAGTGTTGGATCAACACTGAACAGAATGGGTCTAACACCAGAAGTGTCAGTTTTCAAATAAGAGTTGGTGTCATTTTATGTACAGGTGCATCTCAATAAATTAGAATGTCGTGGAAAAGTTCATTTATTTCAGTAATTCAACTGAAATTGTGAAACTCGTGTATTAAATAAATTCAATGCACACAGACTGAAGTAGTTTAAGTCTTTGGTTCTTTTAATTGTGATGATTTTGGCTCACATTTAACAAAAACCCACTTTTCCACGACATTCTAATTTATTGAGATGCACCTGTAGTTGCAAACGTTAACTCTCTTTCAGAGTTAATCAAGCCACCTCCGTTAACGTGCAGACTAGACGTCATTTTGATCGAAACAGACCACATGATGCGGACGCCATTTTACTTCAGTGGAAGAGTGGTGGTAAGTCTGATATTTTAATGTTATAATACAGATACAGACTGTAAATTGATTCTAATATTTATAATTTGTCCTAGTCTTATCTATTTTTCAATCACAAATAATTCTAATAACAAGACAGCCAACGAGCTGATAAAACAAATTCCACAGACAAGACCAGGTGGAGGAAATGTGCTTAAGGAGTATGAAGATACAAGGACAATTAGTGTTGACACGAGGAAAGTGATGGTGAACATCTTAGTTGCACACATGATGGAGACAGAAGGGTAATTATAAAAATATAATTCAGTCTTGCATTATTCAGTTTGTTAGTGATTTTGACGCTATATGGATTATGAAGTATATAGATGTAGTTGGGTGCTACAAATTTGTGCAAATTTTCAAATTTGTTGTTTTTTTCTGAAAGTTACTGTTGTTTAATTAAATGTTCTTAAACATTTCCTATCAGCGTAAAGTAACATTGAGTGTTCCCATTCTTCAGAAGGGTCCCACATCGACTTACCAAACAGAAGTATGGTTTGGGAATTATCACCTTGTTTCCCTCACTCAGAGATCCCCAAGGGAGGACTGGATATGTAAGTCATTATCACTGATCAGAACATTCAATATTTTGTGTTCATTAACTCTTCCTTAATGAACATACATCTAATTTCTTTGTTCCATTCTGAAGATGGAAAAAAGTATGGCATGACAAAATACTTGCCCCATTGGTTGATGATGTGAAATTACTTGAGCAGAAGGGAATGACGGTGCCATTTTCTGAGGAGCCCATCTTTGGTACTATTGCGCAAATTACGGGTGATAACCTAGGTCTAAATAGTATTCTTGGTTATGTTGAATCTTTTTCTGCAAAATATTACTGCAGACTCTGTCTCACTGACAAGGTGTTAGCACAGGAAGTATTTAGTGAGGATGATCCACGGGTGATATTGCGTAATATAAATCTAAATGAGGAGCATTACAAGTATCTTGCTGACAACCCCAATGAAAACTCCTGTTATGGTGTTAAAAGAAATTCTATACTCAATACCTTGACTTACTTTAATGTATCTGAGAACTTTGTGCTGGATATTATGCATGATATCCTGGAGGGAGTTGCACAGTATGAAATGAAACTGCTTTTTGAATATAGTACTATCAAGGGTATTGAGTCTGGCCCTGTTTCAAATGAGCTGTTGTCTGACCTTGAAAACTGTGATTTTATGTCAGAGCAGCTCCAGATTGATATCTCTAGCGTGGTAATGGTCACACCGTGGGTAAAGTGTCATGGTACTGAGTATCGCAGTGGTCTTGTTGTTTGCTTAGAGTTTGTTGATGATGCACCTGTTTTTGGAAAGATTGTTCAAATTTTTATTAAGGATGGAATTTATTTTTTGGCATCGTGTATGGAATCAGAGTTTGTTGAACACCTTCATGCTTTCAGTGTTGTTGAACAAGAGCACAGTCTTGTACTAAAAAAAACCTGAGGAATTGATGTACTACAAGCCATTTGATTTACAAATGTCCTATGGCAATGACAGTCTTTTTTACATTGTTGTGGACTGTTATTTGTAATAATGTCATGGCATTATGGTTTCTTGCTCTGTGCTGAAATAAAGTTTTGAAACCGTAACAGAGTAACGTTTTCTTCATAGTGAATTTCTAGTTTATTTTACAGTTTTTTAGTAGGTAATGCAGAACCATAATAAGAAAGTAACTCCCAAAAAAGTGTTCTATCAACACCAGGATGGTGTAACTTTTGACTCTTTTATAAAGTTGAGTATATTGTGATTTCCATTTTTCCAAAGTGTCAAGTCAACACCGGAATAGTGTAGAATTTTAACTCTGCCAGTGTTTGCTACAAAGCTACACCCAGCTCTGTAACAGTGTTGTTTTTATCTGCATCAGTGTTAATATATCACTTAGTGTTCATATTTTAACACTATGTTGGTGTTGCATGAGGCAACACTTTTGAAGGTGTTAAATTAACACTTTGTGGGTGGTTCTCATATATACACTTTTAAAGTGTTGAAAAAAAAACTCTACTGTAACACTTTCATTGTACAGAAAGAGAGCAAAGAACATTTACATTATCAAAGAACATTTTCACTGACAGCCTAGAGTTCAAGCACTCTCAAAAACTCCCATTAAAATCACTGAAGCTGTTTACACTGTGAAATTAATATCTTAATTATATAGGCCAGACACATCTGCACTTTGTTGTTTCTAACGAGAGAATTCGCCAGAAAGAGGTATTCAGTC